ATAATAAAGAACTAAAAGAAGAAACCATCCAGGAAATCGCACTATGTGGGACGGCCCACATTCTTCGGAAAATATTATAAATAGCACCACCGATATTCGAGTATTTGTCCCTAAGGAATCGGGTAGAGACCTGGGATAAATGCTTAAAAACCCCGACAAATAAGAGCCTTGTCGTGTTTAAGAGTGACCATAATAATAATAATAAAATTGTTCTAACCTAATACCAAACATTTTTTTTTCGCATAAATATGTGTATCGTTCAACCTTGAAAAATACCTTGAGGAGGGTTATTATTATTATTATTATTATTATTATTATGAGACTGCTTACTTTTTCTACATTTTTTTATCCATTAAAAAAATAAAGTATTTAGATAACTATCGTAAAATAAACAGGACCGTATTTAGACGAGACAATGTAAAAAAAAAAAAAAAAAAAAAAATTTAATATTAAGCCAAAACTTCTTATCATCATTATCATTATTATTATTATTATTATTATTATCGATCACATCCTAGAAAATAGTATGCGAAATATTATATATGTAATATTTAATAACAATAGATACATACAAAAACTATTATTTATTATTATTAATAAATAAATAAATCCTTCGAAAAAAATTATTTAACAAATAATAATAATAATAATCTCATATAATAATAATAATAATAATTTGATTGATTGATTGATTAATGCTAATCTATTATTTAAATATGTGTGTATATGTATAAAACTATAAATTTTATTTAATAATAATAATAATAATGTAATTACATGAAAAAAAAAATAAATAAATAAATAAATTTAAAATTTAAATCGTTGTTGTAATTAATTGTAATAATAATAATAATTATTATTATTATTATTTATTCCAAATAAGGTAATTATTCAATACTTGGCCAAACGAATAATATTACGTAATGTTTTTTTTTTTTATAAAACTAAACCGCACGAAATAAATAATTAAAAATTATTATTATTATTATTTATTACACGATTTATTTATAACGTGTTGCATTCATTTATTTATTTATTTATTTTTGCATGTTTTACCCTAAAACTCTCACTCTTTCTCTCTCTCTTTTTCTCTCACTCTCTCCCTTCTCTCTCTCTTTCTCTCTCTCTCTCTTCTCCATCTCTCTCTTTTTCTCTCACTCTCTCCATTCTCTCTCTCTCTCTCTCTCTACAGCCTCCTCTCTTGCAAAACTAATTTCGATAATAAAATATATAATAACGTACGAAAAATTACACAACCAAAAGTTTTTACGATTTTTTTTTTTTAAACTATATAAAAAAAAAAATTCGTTTACTGCCGTGAGTACAAATCTTAAATATATATACATATATATATATATATATTATGTAATGATAAAAAAATAGTATTTATTTATACGCGTTCGCGTGTATTTAGTTATGTTATATAATAATAATAATAATAATAATAATAATAATAATAATATTATAACGAGCAACAACACCAAAGAAAAAAAGAAAAAAATTTTTTTTTTCTTTTACGTGCGTTAATTTTTTTTTATTTATCTCTTGAATTTTCCCATAATAATAATAATAATAATAATAATAATAATTCGATTATATCGTTGTTATTATTATTATTATTATTATTATTATTATTATTATTATTATTATTATTATCGCGATAGGGTTAATAATATTCTCTATTAAATATTTTTCTCACTTATTTATTTAATTGGAAGCGTATACGAATCGTTGTTTGTTTTCTTCATCATCTAAAAAATTTTAACCACGCGAACAGCCGATTTCAAATCGACATATATATATATTTTTTCTCTCTCTCTCTTTCTCTTTCTCTCACTCACTTCTCTCACTCTCTCTCTCTCTCTCTCTTAACAGTTATGATGATATGGCCTTATGTAAATTCGTTTAAGGTCAACAAATGTCACTTATCAAACAGCGCCCAACAATTAAACCCGTTGAAAAGTATTTTAAGTGTCGTACAATTCAAATATATGAATAATAATAATAATAATAATAGTAATAATAATAATGATAATAATAATAATAATCGTTGCTTTTGTCGAAAATATAATAATAATATTGCGCAATCGATTTTGTCTTTATTTGTATGGGAAAAGTTTTCGTGTGTATATAAAACAAAAAGTTTTTAATTAACGCCCCCCTTTACCTTTCCCCCCTTCCGTTTCCCTCCCCCTAATTTTGTGTAATCGACGCGTATAAAAATGGCCAAAGATTCGTTGTAAGAAGAAAATATAGCTAGTGAATAATATTAAGTTTAAAAAAAAAATAAATAGAATCTTCTAGAATTTGTTATTATTATTATCATCATTTCGCAAAAACCCACGCGTTTAGTTTTAAAAAAAAAAGTCATATATGGGAAATAAATAAGTTAACGATTTCGCGGATATAAATAAATAAATTAATAAAAGTAAAAAAAATTTCGTGTGTGGGGGGCAAAAGAAAAATCGTTAGAAATCGTGAGTAATTAAAAAAAAAAACGTTTTTCGTTTCGTTTACTTATTATTATTATTATTATTATTATTATTATTATTATTATTATTATTATTATTATTATTATTATTAATTCTTCTGCTTCGAGACCATATTTATAATAATTCATTATTAATCAGCATTAATAATTTTTTATTTATTTATTTATTTACGCGCGACTAACAACGTTTTACAACCTCGTGTAAAAAAATTTTTTTTTCTAGGTAAATCACACGCCATTTTCCAATGTGTGTGACATACAACAACTTACTTCGTTTATGAGTATCTACTACCTACTACGTCATAAATGAATGACTATAACCCGGATACGGGTACTAACGTCTACAAAATTTTAAAAACATTATCGAAAACAATCGAAAGATGATAATAATAATAATTTTTTCTTTTTTTTTGTTAGTAAAAAAATTTTTAAAAGCTCAAATATTCAGGTTCAAGAACGATAATTTCCTTCGGCAAATTATTATTAATAATAATAATAATAATAACTAAAAGACTTTTGTGCAAAATTACTAACATAAAGAAGAAGAAGAAAATGATGTGCGTGTGTGTGTGTGTGTGTACGGCGTTTTTTTCAATCTAAAATTTTTGACGGTCAAGGCCCCCCTTTTTCTTTTCATTTTTTTATAATAATAATCGTTTTATCATTTGATTAACTTTGATTAACTCGTCTTCTTACAAGTATTTAACTCATACCCATTTAAAATCAGAGTTTTTATGTAACTCGATTTGAGGTGAAAACGATATTAACAACCTTTTAATATTTTTTTTTTAAATAGGTCTTCGACCTGGGACCTCTCACCGTTTCGCTTTTTAAACATGCACGCACACGCACACGCACACGCACACGCACAGGTAATACGGGTACGCATGCTCGCACTCATTTAAAAAAAAAACATTTATTTCGGTTTATATTGCATAAAAAAAAAAAAAAATAACCATCATCATCATCATCATCATCTTCGTACAACCGTCATCAAGGTAAGACTTTTTTTTTTTTTTTAACTGACCCCTAACAACATTCCTTTGTATATAGCAATTCTGATTCATTACAACGATAAACACATTTTACGCATTCGGTCATTAAATAGATATCATATTTAATTAAAACCTGTCGTGCGTGCGTGAGTG